ATTAGTTGTCTGCGTGTGTTTAAGATAAAGTGACTGTGGAAATTCTGTGTATTGCAAAGTTGTATTGAGAAAGAATAAACTAGTTTTATTTAAGAAAGGACTTGTGTCGCTGAAGTTCTTCAGAAAGAATTTTTACGAGTAATTAACAAATGACCAGAGACGTAACAATACTACCACCTACGAGTTGACATATTAGCGTTGACTCACCCCACATGATGAGCAAATTATAGATGGTTAACTGTTGCAGTTACGGAGCTACGATCCAGAAGTAAAACAATAATTGTTTTTTAGTATAATTACCTTCTTTGATTTGAGTTAAAGCGATTTAATTGTAAGTTAACAAATTACTATATATGCATTATATACGCTACTTATTATTACATATTTCTGAATTAATTTTCATTAGTTTGTACTAATCCAATCACAAAAAAGGTAAAACAAGAGAGTCATGTAAACACTGAAGACTGTTTAATTATTTGACTATTTAAGTAAATAATGTCACAAAAAATACACTTTGTGAATAATACACATTTGTAAACTATTTGAAATACGAAGTAATTGTAATATAAGGCATTGTTCTATTGGAATTAAAGAGAATTAACAGAACTATAATTTGTCTTTTCGCTCAAATACTGTAAGATGCTGCTCTTGTTACTGAATTTGTTCGAGTGTACTGTTGTGAGGGTTGTCTGAAAAGTTCGTGGCCCGACCTAAAAACACTAGAATGTATGATTTTTTTTCTGATACTAGTTAAGTTTAAACCTTTTTATGAGTAAACGATATATAACATATAACTTAGCGAGCTTATTTCGTGCGTTGCGGAATTTTAAAGGAAACAAGTGAGCAGTGTTAAACATCATGGAGAAGATCGAACTTCTTGCCGTGATCAAATATTTTGGTAAAAGGAAAATGACACCGCAAGAAATCCACCAGAATATGGAAGAAATATTAGGAGAAGGCGCTCCAGTATATTGAAGAGTGAAAACGTTGTGTGATGAATTTAAGCGTGGTAGACAATCATGTGAAGATTATCCAAGATCAGTTCTTTCCTCGACAACAAAAATTGTAGATAAAGTTCATGATATTGTCACCTGAGCAAGAAACGGATCCGAGTTGTTGAAAGCCAACGCCTACTTGTAAAGGTTTCAATAGATTCATAACTATGGATGAAATGTTAGTTCACCACTTGGACCAAGAGAGAAAAATGCAAAGTCTGCATTTGAAACACCCAAGTTCACCCACTCCAAATAAGTTAAAATCACGACCTTATGCTGGGAAGGTCATGGCATCAATTTATTGGAATGTCAAAAGGCGTTTTACTAGTTGATTATTTGGAAAGGTATCAAACCGTTACAGGTGATTACTATGCATCTTAATCAACAATTTGCGTCAAGAAATCAAAGAAAAAAAGAATTGCTCCAAAAGTTGAACTCTTCCATCAGGACAATCTCCCAGCTCACAAACTGCGTGTTGCTGCGAACGCTATCCGTGATGTTGGCTACGAATTATTCAATTTCTCCTTATTCACCGGATTTAGCTTCAAGTGACATTTTTTTTATTCCCTAACCCTAAAATCTTTCTGAAAAGTCGAAGATTTCAGAGTGATGGTGATTTCGTATATACCATCTAGTTATGGACTGATGACTAAGAAGAGTTCTTTCAAAAAGGCGTAAAGGCCTTGGGGCACCGCTGAGGAGTAAAGTATGTAGAAAAATATAACATAGTTGAACCAGTATCTATTTTCTTTATAGGTCGGGCCACGAACTTTTCGGACACCCTTCATATATATTAAAGCAGTGACTTCCTCAAACACGCAGATCGCAACCCAAGAGATCTGCTTTTATGATATCTTTTTAAATTATCTTTTTAAAGATGCGTGTATAAAAGTGTATCACCTTATTAGTATACTAAAAAGTAGTGGTTTAACTCATTTTTATACCTAAATTTAGTTATCTAAAAAAATCAAATCAGTAATTTATAAAGGAAATTAGAAAAGTACTATAGACTTGACTACACCACTGCTGCAGAACAGAGGACACAGAAGTTGTGTACGTTATATAAAAGCGATTTTGGAGCCTCACCACACCGTTACAGTCTATGTAATTACATATTTCCGGTCATGGTCTACCTGACACCCGTGCATCTTGACATCAATCCTGTAGCTTAATTTCTATTGCGAAAGGTTTAGTCCTAAAACAGTTATTTCCAAAGCACACCCCTTTTCTCTGTGTGCTTTCCATAAGCCGAAAAATGTTAGAGGACAATAGCTTCCTAGCGCCTGTTTCAACAATTCTATCGAACAGAAGTCCACATGCACTGCGTCTAGCAACTTGACCAGTATGTCTTCGTATGAAATAGCAAGAATATTCATTTCATTATTAAGCTGCTTGAAGCAGATGGTAATTGAAGAGATATTTTGTGAAAGCAATTTGTTTTGCTTTTCCACATGGAGATCCTTTTTCATTCTGTTTCTTACTGTCCTCTGAGACGCAGTTAAGGATTTTTACACTTGCTACAAGACGTCATACTTTGCTTACTATGGCTGGGGTACGATTTGTTGCAGGTTTCTTTCTGGATGGTCCTGTTTTTCCAAGTTGATTCATATTTCTTTTTGACATATCATTGTGATTTAGGAATATCCCAGTCTTGGAAATCATGAATCAACAATCTGAACACATCTTTATGATATGAGTGTATAAATAACTTGCATCAGAAAGGGTTATTACATACCTTTCCCAAAAGTGATCAATTTTTACTCATGTCACTTTATCTACTTCACGCCAAATAGTATCATAATGTAGTTTTGAGAAATGCCGTTCCAATGTGATTTTATATGGTCTATGGTTGTTGCGTGACCTGATGATTTACATATTCAAAATCATTTTAATATAAAGTACCCAACCCTCTTAAGAGTAGGCAGTTCTTTAGAATAATGTATAAGACTTAATATTTCTTAGATTTTTAAAATGTTTTGTACTTTATGTGGGAACTTGGTCAGCGTTTCAGAGACAATATCACTGCTTTTAATCAAAAGTTGATTGAAACATTCAAGTAGTTTTGTTAGATATATACGAATGTATCAAGTTAATGCGAGTGCTATGATTTAGGTGGTTTAAGTGTTAAATTTAGTTATTTTTAAAGATGATAGTCTATCACAGCTTTGTTTACGTAACTGTTTGCAAATCATACGTTCTGTAGTTCACTAGTTATGAACTGGTAATTGTTATATTATTGCGTCATATTACCAGAACCTTTTAAGCTTTTCTCGTTGTTTTAGTTGAGTATTATTGCATCGTAATAGTTTGTAGTGTAAGAAACGTTCTAGGCCTCTATTGGGATATAAATACGTGCTGAAAATTTAGTTCGAAAATAGATAAATATATAAATAGATCTAGACTGCGTGATTGTGAGTTTAGCCATAAGAAGCGTATGGCGATTTTTAAAGTGAAATTATCACAGTTTGTATTGTAATAACAGAATATAGAAGAATAATTCCTCTTGTTAATTGTGTTCTAAAGTAACTGAACCAGTCTTCGTAAACTTTGACGAAAAAGAGACAATTATTTAAGCTTTGTATACAACTGTAGTAACCAACAACTACAGTGGTGATTTTAAAGTGAAATTATCACAGAGTGTATTGTAATAACAGAGCAGGGAGAATAATTCATTTTGTCAAATTGTGTTCTAAAGTAACTGAACCAGCCTATGTGGACTTTGACGAAAAATAGACAATTATTTAAAGCTCTGAATACAAATGTGATAACTAACAGTGTAACAACATTTATATATACGTTTGACTTGTTTCAATATATTATCTTAAAACAAGTGGATTGTGTGCTGTTTGTTTATTTTTGAAATTTATCGCCAACAACTTCCAGACACATACTGTAAAGAATCAGGCCCATGCATAAAACCTAACAAGTTTGAAATAACCTGAATAAATTATGTTATCCACTGCATACTTTTATATTTTTCAACAAAACTCATAGTTTCAGCTACACGTAGTATTGTTTAATAAAGGCGTTTACAGAGTGTAACACCAGGGGGCAGTTAATTAATCAGATGTTTTGGTTTGTTTTTATCATTTCGTATTTGACAGGCTAAAGCAATAGAGAATAGAACCAAGGTGATAAAAGAAATCTCTTCTCTGGTAAACATTGTATTAAAGTCATTTATCTTAACTATGTATAATTTCAAGATAACAGAACTACGTCATTTCTTGCTGAGTTATCTGAGTTGTTGACCAGGATTATTTCCATGGTTTTATGACGAAGGATTAGAGTGTTAGAACAAAGAAGGGAAAAACTATATTTAATCTATCATTAAAGCTAAAACTGATATACAAGAAAATACTCATTGATCCAATATAAAGGTAAGTTGGTTTGATTTGTTTTCATTATTTGACATTTTTATACAACTGCGGTTCATAGAATATACGTAAGTCATGTTCACGTAGTTTTGGGCTTGGCATAATCATTGGCGTGCTCGGACTGTGGAACCAAGGGTTCAAGGTTTGTGGCCTATTGCTACAAAAACACGACATGAGACTGCAGGTTAAATCACAATATTCAGTCAAACAAGAGTAACTTAAAAGTTGGCGATGAGCTAGCTGCTTTCCATTTGGTCTATCACATCAAAATTAGGGACGACTATGCGCAGGTTCTGCGCGAAAATAAACAAACGTAACGTGTCACTCAGTGGTATTCATTGAAAACTCCTACACTCTGTAGAAACTCATGGTGATCGTTACAACTCCTGTTAGATATTGACACTGTTTTTGACATTATAGCCTTGTAATCACATGTTGTTTAGCTAAATTCAGTAAATTACTGACCAGGACAAACAGTATAAAATCTAATTCAGATTTATGGTCATGCGAAGAGTTTGAAGTGCTTTTCTTTCTAATGAAGTATATCTTAGTGTAAGGCCTAATATCACTAAACTGGCTGCCATTTATATTAAAAAATTGAAAATACAGCGTGTGTGTGTGTGTGTTTTATAGCAAAGCCATATTGGGCTGTCTGTTGTGTCTACCAAGGGGAATCGAACCCCTGATTTTAGCATTGTAAATTCGTAGACTTACTGCTGTCCCACCAGGGGACTGAAAATACAGTACCAGCTATGATTTTTCATTTGTAATAAACACGTACTTATACTGATTGTAAATTAAGTAGATCTCAGTTTCTACTCATTGTATTTATATATACATTTTGTAAATGCTGCAGTCCTTCTGATGTAATACAACTTCTTATACTTGTACTCATATTAATAAAATTAGCTATGGCTTTACGTTTAGATAATAAACATTTAATTGTTTATTTTGTTTGTTTGTTTATTTGTAGTTAAACACAAAGCTACACAATGAGCTATCTGTGCTCTGCCACCACGGGTCTCAAAACACGGTTTTTAGTGTTGTAAGTCCGCAGACATACCGCTGCGCCACCGGGGGGAGGGGAGGGAAATAACCATTTGAATGTAAATTCTTGATAATTTTTTAACTCTATTAGATAAAATCGTTGATGTGAGAGCTGTTACATTACAACATTTGAATGTAAATTCTTGATAATTTTTCTACTCTATTAGATAAAATCGTTGATGTGAGAGCTGTTACATTACAACATTTGAATGTAAATTCTTGATAATTTTTCAACTCTATTAGATAAAATCGTTGATGTGAGAGCTGTTACATTACAACATTTGAATGTAAATTCTTGATAATTTTTCAACTCTATTAGATAAAATCGTTGATGTGAGAGCTGTTACATTACAACAT